GCTCGCAAGGGGATTCTAACCACTCGTGGAGGGTGGCCTTCGTGCCGCTACTACGGCACGTGGAACACTTAAACCCACATTCACTAAGCGTGTGAGCTGTATTAAACCTGGCTACGACCGCGGGGGAGGGCGGCGGCGGGGCAGGGGCCGAAGAGGCACGACCACCAGGAGCGAGCGCAGAAATCTTCGCTTCCTCACGCTCGGCGACCGTGGCCTCCAAGGTGGCCCTGAGGAGCCTCCGCCTGATCAAAGCAGCTCGTCCCTCTACCTCCGCGATCCTAGACCGAACACTACTGGGCAACCTACAACGCTCAGCGGCCCCCGAGGCAATGGCGTCAGCCACTTCATTACCGCGCAACATCCACTCGGGGGTCTGTTTCTCGCACACATCCTGGGCGGTCTGGTGGGAGTTGACATGCAGAACGACGATCTCGCTGAAGTCTCTGTGCTTAACCAGAGCTCCGATCTCCGCCCACAAGCCGCTCATCTCACTCTTCCCAGGATTGAGATACTGCTGAGCGTGCCATCCACGCACAACATTTTCATTATCTGAAATGTACACTGTCGGGCCTGCTGACCACCGTATAGCAAGTTCCAAGCACCGAAGCTCACCTCTCGGCACAGATTGAACTCGTCCTGTTAGTGGCCCTGCAATCTTGGGCCCGATGGTCATGGTGATGGGGTCGGTCATCACTACCAAGCCAAGGCCGACTCTCCTCAGCGATGGAAACCGACTCTCGGGACCACCTGACGCATCACCGAAAATGAGTAAAGGTTGAGCAAGCGTGCCGCTGCCAAGGCACTCAGCTCCAAGTGGGCATTCAAGATCAACAGCTGTCCAGTCTTCCTGCATAGCTGGCGCTGGGGTAGCCGTCATATGTCTCGGAATCAACCCACGATACCACAGGCATGCATCACTGTCGCCTTGTGCCAAGGCTGCTGGTACCAACTTATCTGAGTCGGTGAAGGCTTTGGCATTAATATTGGCATTGCATAACCACCCTCGATGCTTCATGTCCTCGGGCTCCTGCTTGCACCGAAGACACAAATTGGACTTGCACAGCTTAGCTTCGAACTTCCGCGTCCGCGTCCAACAACCTCCTGTGCTAATCGTCAACATGAGTTCGGCCAGCTGATGGCCATGAGGCCCTGCACGGAGCCTAGTGAGCAGCCGTCGAAGGGAATCATTATCAGCCCCGAGCTCCAGGCCGGCCCCATGATGAAGTTGGGCAGCGTCCCGCCACTGCTGATGATCAAGACTCTGCCCAAAATCAAATAAGAAATCTGCCGTGTCAACGTGCTGCTGATCAATACTGCTATCATGGAAGATCCAGTCGACGGGCTCGAGACCGAACTCATCAGACCGACACCAGTGCGACGGCGACTGAGGATCCCAACCTGCGTTGACCAGGTACGTGACGATCGCAGAGATTGGCCCGTGAATATATCTACCTCGCTCATGAATTGCCAAGCTCCGCACTTGCTTGACAACGTCGTCCCACACTCTACGGACTCCTGCACGTATCTGTGGATATTCAAACCATGTCTTGAGCCATTGGTTCAAGCATAACAAAGGCAGCCGAACTCCTGGATCTTGCTGAGGTGCACGTACATCGAGTAGCGTTGTGAGACATCGCCCTCGTTGGTGCGCCCCTGATACTGAACCAAGCTGCCGCCTGAGCTGCTGCAACCGCCACCCAAACGTACCATGAACATGATGAGCATACGTCGCAGCTGCCTGAGGCCCTGCGAACTCAATTTTCTTCGTCGCCTCGTAGCACTTCGAAGCGAAGGCGTGCCGCCTCAGCTTCTTGTTGCAGGCGGTGGCTTTCTGAGTGCGCGCCCGTCGTGATGCTCTGGCAACTCTGCGACCACCACCTAAGTCAACTCCGAGATAACTGACTTGAAGGACCGCCTGAATATCGATCCCTTTCTTCCTCAATACTTTAGAAACGTGCTTGCTATCATTCATGCTGTCACATAAGATCGCACTCTTGGGCGCCAACTTGAGCCCGGCTTGAACGACCTGATCTCGGACCAACACAACACTTTGAACAAGCGCCTTGCGAGCGGCTAGGCGAGAACCTTTGTGCCCTAAGTATAAATCATCCACCCATATACGCTGGGATGATGTGACTCTCGCCGTGCAAAGCCTGTCCAGGATGAAATGGGTAAGGCACCGTCCAAATCGGACCCCATTTCTTAGCCCTTGAATGATGCTCCTGGTGGGCTGAAAAGGGGCTGCATGAGCCCCAAATTGCGCCAAAACTCTCGGCGCCGTACATAATTGAACCTCCAGCAGCAAAACTATACCAGGAAATCCCAGCCGAATGGCCGCGTCGGAGAGTTTGCTCCACCTGATCATGTCGTAAAATGACTTGAGGTCTAATAAGGCGCACCCGTTGGAAACCCCAAGCTTCACAAACAACTCTTGATCGACTGCTTTCAAGAAAGCCTCCTGCAGCGCCGAATTGCCAGCCACTGCAGCGTCCCAGTCCGTCGCCGTGTCGGTGGACCAGCGCTTAGTGTAGGGCTCCCGAATGAGGGTGTACAGCCGACACACAATGGGCAGCAAACCGATGATCCGATCACCGCCCGCCTTCTTGGGTAAAAGACGACCCAAGACACATAACAATTGAGTGGGCCATGTGCCCGTATCTTCAATCATATTGAGAACTCCAGCCAAGGCGTCATGTCCTTCAGTAGGGAGCCTCTGAATGTCCAGAGGCGTCAGCTGATCAACGCCAAGGCCAGCTTTGCTTTTCATCCGAGCTGCGGCTTGCCGTACCTCATCGCCGTCGATAGGTGCAAGCCCTTGAATGCGAGCCCACTCCCTCATGTCGGCGAAGGCGGCACACAACTCGTCGATGCTGAAATCAGGATCATACCACAAATCATGCCACTTGGTGGCTTTCGCATCGATTACATCTTTGGGATGAAATAGATACTCGCCATTGTGAAAGAGCTCGTCAGTGACCGTAGGCGTATCCTTGATACTCTTGTGCAGTGCCCCTGACGCTTCCGCTGACGACACCCATTCTTTGAACTCCGATAACGACTGCCGCAGTGCTTTGGCCGCAGCTCTCTTAGCGGCTCGCTGTGCCACCTGCAAGAAGCTGTCAAGACTCCTCCCACCGCAGCTGAAGTTGTTGCAGAGAAAACTAACCCAATGCTCCCAATCACCGCTGTCGTTATAGGGGAGCACTGCATGCACCCCCTCGGGGTAATCAGTGCCCAGTCGAACACCAAGTTCTCGAAGATAAACTAATTGCCTGGCGCCGTTGCCCCGTTCACGATGTCGAGAAACTTTCGCTAATACTTGAACGACTCGCGACCACCAGTTGGCAACCCTGTCTTGAAGGGGAGCCTCTCGGAAGGTAGCCGCCTGCTGTACGCGCTGCTCCCGAAGGTGGGGATCAGCAGCGCGAGAAACAGAACTAAGAGGTAAACCGTGATGACTGGATATCGTCGCCTCTAAGGTAGATACCCAACCAGCGTACAGAGCCGAAACGTGCCGAACGTGAGGCCCTGCAACTCGCACTGCTAGCGAATCATGAATGGCAGACCAGTGTGTGTAAACTTCATTGCTATCGGATGGGATGAAGCTGGATCCACAACAGGTTTGAGCCAACACCCAACGGTCCGATGGAACTTGGAACTCGGGGTTCCGAGGCGACGATTCAGCAACAACGGGCTCATTATTTCCAGGGGCACTCTCAGCTTGACCAGCTGAACTATCTAAGCTGCTGTTGCTGGGGGGCTCTGAAACGGGCTCGGGCTGAGACTCGTCGCTCAAGTGGGGCGGACCTGGGTCGGCAGCGGACACTGACACTGCAATTGAGACGCTAGGTGCGATTGAGGAACTACTGTCGGCCAAAGGTTCTCCAGAGGTTTCCACGACCTCCGAATGACCAGAAAACGCCGATATAAAACAGGTTTCCTCGGCCCACGGGTCCTCTTCCTCCTCGCCTTCGACGGGGGCAAAAGCCTCAGAAACAACTGGCTCAGGGAAAGACTCACGCATACCTTCTTCATCGGGGTCCTGAAACATGTCCCCGAAGAGCTCGAGCGATTCATCGACAAATTTTTCCTTGGCGACGGCTACGCGAAACGCCTTCTCTGCTTTAGCTTTGCTACTCTTGGAGCCTGGGGTGGGCAGAGTGCCTGGCCGACTCACCTGCGGAAGTTTGCCTGCAACAATGAGCGAACGTGTCACCAACTGCTGGCAGCTATGACGCAACCTCAATCGCAGTCCACAGTGCGGCCCCCAAGGAACATTATGATCGGCACGAAGGTCGACGACAAAACTCTCGGCTCCAGGACCTGTGATGACGTAATCGATGTGCGAGGCTCCCTTCGCTGTTGTACAAGTATACTCTGCTTCTGACTTGCGGATCCTACCATGGACCCGCGCGAGGAAATGAGATTTCTGAAGAGTCTCTGCTGCCATATTGAAATCTCCAATGCACAGCCAAGGTAACTGCAGCGCACGAAGAAATCCACCTAGCCGATGAAAACGTTGATGGTTGATGGTTCCGCACCTCATGCCCACTGACGGGTAACCGTACACAAGGACCAGCACCAGGGAATACGACTGGAAATGCACTATCACTGGAAGAAATCCGTCGTAAGCTGAGTGACCGTCAGCGCATAAGTCAGGCGCGTCGTCAGGCGAAATTGGAAACCGATGAACCTGAAGATGCTGCCGAAAAAGTAGAACTTCACCTCCCTCATTGGCACGCTCACGCTTGGCCTCGGTGTTGCCGAGCCCCGTGCTCCTGGCCAAGTTGAACACATGCTTGAGCTTGCTGCTGCGGAACTTCGTGGCCCACCGCTTGCTCAACGAATCTCCGATGTGGGTCTCCACTAACCCGAAAAAGTCTATTGAATTATCAGATTGCCCTGACACCAGCGACTGGATATGCCCCCAGGCCTTCTTCCCAAGACAAGTGCAGTTCGAGAAGAAGAGCGTACTGCAATCACCAGTGCTACTGCCACCATCATCTGAAAAAATAACAACATCCGACACTGTGCCACACCCCTGCGATGTACATGTACTCGCGCTCGTGGACTGACCAGTCGCCGATGATGCTGCTGTCGCTGAAGTTGCCGAAAATGCTGTAGATGCTGAGGATGCCGATGTAGCAGCCGAGCTCGCAGTGCCATCGGCTGACGCGCTGCGAGGGCAGGTCTCCGCGGCGCCTCCATCCAAGGGGACGGGCGCCGCGGGCGAACATCACATGCTCGGCGCTGCGGGAGCCGCAGCCGCAACCTGCCTCGCTGCGTCAGCACCTGCGAGCCTGGCCTCACTGATCTGCTTGGCCCTCGCTGCCAAGGCCTCTTCCGAGAGACTGCCGCTGCTGCCCGAGCCCGCGCCGGGCCCGGCTGGCGGGGGCGCTGACGTGCCCTCAGGGGCCGCGGCCTCGGGGCCCGTCGCCGTGCCAGCGCCAGCGGTGCCACCGCCCTCAGCGCCTCCAGCGACTCCTCCAGCCTCTACCTTCCGCTTCTTCTGCAACCGCTCCTGAATGGCCGCCTTCATGGCCTTGGTCCGCTCGACCCAAGCCTTCACCTCGGACGACCTCGTGGCCATGGCCGTCTGCATGTCGCGCAACTGCTTCTCCAGCTCCGCGAGCTCCTTACGCTCCCCTTCCTCGCACTCTAAGTCCTGGATGGACGCGAAGAAGGTCTCATCAACCTCCACGCGAAAGCAATCGCCCTCGGCGGCCTTGTCAGGGGCCTTGCCGTCGCCCGTCGCCTGCACCTGCAAGCCTGAGGCGTTGGCGAGGGCCTTGATGGCGATCTGCTTGTTGAACTCCGCCTGAGCCAGAGTGCGAGCGCACTCCGCCTCGCGCGTCTCAGCCTTGACTAAGGCAGCCCTGCACCGCAGCACCTGGTCCACGGACTGGGCGTGCTTGGCCTCGGCGTCCTTCCACGCGCCTGAGGCCTTCCTCACGGCCTCGTCGGCAGACACGACCGACTCCACGGGCTTCTGCGCGGCGAGAATCGCCTGCTGGCTCTCCAGGACGCGCTTGACCGTCGGGTCTGTGGTGGCCGCAATGGTCTGGCTCAGCAGGTCGAGGGCGCCCTCTGGAGTGCCTCCTGCACCTCCCTGCTGCTTGCTCTTGCCCTTGTGCTTAGGCCCAGGTTGGACAAGGGCGACCGCCTGCTGCTGCTGCTGGCTGACGTCCTGGCCCTTGGGCTTGAACAGTTTCACAGGCCTCCCGCACTTCCTGCATGCGCCGCCCTCTTGAAGCAGTACGTCGTTCCACTGATGTGTATGACACCCAGCGCACGTGCTCCAGAGCCGACGACCTGCAGGCGAGGAGGCCATCCCCGCTTTAGCTGCCTCGAACGCCTACGCTCGCCGCGTGGGAGGCGAGGCAGACCCCAAGCACCTCGGGACGGCGCGGGGCTGGCCGGAGGAGGAGGAGGAGGAGGAGGAGGAGGAGGAGGAGGAGGAGGAGGGGGAAAAGGAGGATGGGGAGGGGGAGGAGCAGGAGGAGGAAGAGGAGGAGGAGGAGGAGGCGGAGGAGGAGGAGGAGGAGGAGGATGAGGAGGAGGAGGAGGGAGGGTGAGGGGGAGGGGGAAGGATGGGGGAGGGGGAGGGGGAGGGGGGGGAGGGCAAGCTAGGTGCGCTCGCGTCATATCTGACATCCTACCCCTCCCTCCCATCCCTTACCATGACGCAGATCCCCTCTCTACTCGCACAGTCGGTTGTCGAGCAGGGCAATGATCCCGAAAGGGTACGCGATGCATTGTAGAACACGGCATGGCATGGCGTAGAAGAGCACCACAAAGCGTAGTATCAACCTAGCACTGCATTGCATGCCGTGGCATGGCACGGGAAATGACGCCAGCGCTGCAGCGGGAGCACGATCCGGAACGAGCGGAAACGCGGAAGTGAGGCCAGCGCTGCAGCGGGAGCACGATTCGGAACGAGCGGAAGCACGAAAATGAGGCCAGCGCTGCAGCGGGAGCACGATTCGGAACGAGCGGGGCACGAACATGAGGCCGGCGCCTCAGCGAGAGCAGCATTTAGAAAAAAATGCAGACGAAAACCAAACTCCGGGGAAACCTGTGTGTCAAAAAACACTACGCGGGGGGGGGGTCGGACACTTTCAGGCCGTCATCAGGGGAAGAGCGAGAGTAGTATTCATATTGAGTAATTCTTTGCGCTTCGCGTATCCCCACCAGCCCATCTCAAACCAGCAACTCTTGCGAAGCATACCGACAGTCGTGTTTTTCAGGCGTGTTTCCGCCTGCCCCCGCATATCTCCGGGCCTCTCGTCCTGGTGTGAGTCGTTCGGGCCCCTTCCTGGTGTGAGTCGTTCGGGCTCTTCGTCGTGGTTTGAGTCGTTCGGGCTCTTCGTCCTGGCGTGAGTCGTTCGGGCTTCTCGTGGTGTGAGTTGTTCGGGCCCTTCGTCCTGGTGTGAGTCGTTCGGGCTCCTCCTCCTGGTGTGAGTCGTTCGGGCTCCTCGCGGTCCTCGGGGCCTCTTCTGGTGTGTGAGTTCGTTCGGGCTCCTCGTGGTGTGAGTCGTTCGGGCGCCTCGTCCTGGTGTGAGTCGTTCGGGCTCCTCGTGGGGCTCTGGGGGGCCTCTTGGAGCCTCTGGGGCCTCTTGGGGGCCTCTTGGGGGCCTCTTGGGGGCCTCTTGGGGGCCTCTTGGGGCCTCTTGGGGCCTCTTGGGGGCCTCTTGGGGGCCTCTTGGGGGCCTCTTGGGGCCGCTTGGGGGCCTCTTGGGGGCCTCTTGGAGGCCTCTTGGGAGCCTCCTGGGGGCCTCTTGGGGCCATCTTGGGGCCTCTTGCGACCTCCTCAGAAGCGCAAATGAGAGCTGCCCCCTGAGAAGGACAAAATGAGCCAAAACCTTCGTAAAATCAATGATTTTGCTATGAAGGAAGATGAGCGCGGCCCCCTCAGGACGCCAAAATGGGGCCAAAACCGTAGTAAAATCAATGATTCTGGCTTTAAAGAAGAGGAGGGGGGCCAAACGGTGCCCCCCCGTCGGGGCCAGAATCCTCGTGAGGGTCGTCGTTTTTTAGCCCTCCCAGGAGTCGAAAAAGACCCCTCCAACGACCCGCGGAGCGCCCTCTCCAGGCCCAGGGGGAGGGGGTAGGGGGAGGGGTAAACCCCTTCCCCGAAGGGGAAGAAGGGGGGTTGAGAACAGAGCGGGCTCCCTAAACCACTCACGCCCAAAGGACTGGTGGGATTGTGGCGGGGGAGGGGGGGGTCGGGGAGTGGGAGGGGGGAGGGGGAGGGGGAGGGGGGGGGAGGGGTAGGGGAGGAGGGGGAGGCGGGGGAGGAGGGGAGGAGGGGGAGGAGGGGGAGGAGGGGGAGGAGGGAGGAGGGGGAGGAGGAGGGAGGAGGGGGAGGAGGGGGAGGAGGGGGAGGAGGGGGGTGATGGGGAGGAGGGGGAGGAGGGGGAGGAGGGGGAGGAGGGGGAGGAGGAGGAGGAGGAGGAGGAGGAGGAGGAGGAGGAGGAGGATGCTGATGATGCTGCTGATGATGATGCTGATGGTGGTGGTGATGATGATGATGATGATGATGATGATGATGATGATGATGATGATGATGATGATGATCATGCCGATGATGCCGATGCTGCTGCTGCTGATGATGCTGATGACGATGATGATGATGGTGGTGATGGTGATGCTGATGATGCTGATGATGATGACGATGACGATGACGATGATGACGATGCTGATGATGATGCTGATGATGATGCTGATGGTGATGATGGTGATGCTGCTGTTTCTGATGATGATGCTGCTAATGATGATGATGATGATTATGCTGCTGCTGCTGGTGATGATGATGATTATGACTATGATAATGATGCTGATGATGCTGATGATGATGCTGATGCTGATGCTGATGTGGATGCTGATGATGTATGATGATGGTGATGATGATGATGATGATGCTGATGATGCTGATGATGATGATGATGATGGTGGTGGTTGTGGTGATTATGATGATGCTGCTGATGATGATGATGCTGATGACGATGATGATGATGATGATGATGATGCTGATGCTGATGATGATGATGATGATGGTGGTGATGGTGATGCTGATGATGCTGATGATGATGACGATGACGATGACGATGATGACGATGCTGATGATGCTGATGCTGATGCTGATGCTGATGATGACGATGATGATGATGATGATGATGATGAGGCTGATGCGATGATGATGATGAGATGATGGTGGTGATGGTGATGCTGATGATGCTGATGATGATGACGATGACGACGACGATGATGGACGATGCTGATGATGCTGCTGCTGATGATGATGTGCTGATGACGATGATGTGATGATGATGATGATGCTGATGATGATGATGAGGATGGATGATGATGATGATGATGATGATGATGATGATGATGCTGCTGATGATGATGCTGATGATGATGATGATGCTGCTGATGCTGATGATGATGATGATGATGATGATGATGATGATGATGATGATGATTATGGTGGTGGTGGTGGTGGTGGTGATGATGACGATGATGATGATGATGATGATGATGATGATGATGATGATGATGATGATGATGATGATGATGATCATGATCATGATCATGATCATGATGATCATGATCGAGACGCCAGGATCTCAGGGTCCTCCTCCACCCCGAGGAGGAGGAGGAGGAGGAGGAGGACGAGGAGGAGGACGAGGAGGAGGCGGCACCGATGACGAACTTCTCCACGCCTGTGGCGCAGACGGGCGGCCCCCTTTGGGCGGGCGCAGCCGCGCCCGCGGCCCAGCGGGCGCCAGCCAGATATGGGCGGCGGCGGCGCTGCCTGGGAGGCCACCCCGGAGGCGGCGGGCGCCGAGCGCCGCCGCGGGGCCGAGGCCTGGCGGCTCAGGGAAAGGGGGGGAAAGGGGAGGGCCTCCTCCTCGTCCCTCCTCCTCCTCCTCCTCCTCGTCCCTCCTCCTCCTCCCTCTCCTCCTCCTCCTCCTCCTTCTCGTCCTCCTGCTCCTCCTGCTCCTCCTGCTCCTCCTGCTCCTGCTCCTCCTCCTCCTCTTCCTCCTCCTCCTCCTCCTCCTCACCCGGGAGCCTCCCCCTCCTCCTCCTGCTTCTTATCCTCCTCCTTTCCCTCTCCCTCCTCCTCCTCCTCTTCCTCCTCCTCCTCCTCCTCCTCCTCCTCCTCCTCCTCGTCCTCGGGGTGGAGGAGGACCCTGAGATCCTAGCGTCTCGATTTTATCGAGCCGGGCGTTGTCGCGCTTTGTTCGGGCCCCAGGGCCCTCAGAGATCGATGCGGCTCGAGAAATGGCGCAGAGAGATGGGGCCTGGGGCTCCAGGCGTGATTTTTCACGATGTTGCAATTTTTTGCTACGTTGGACTTCAGGGTCGGGCCAGACGAACAAGGAGGGGCGGGAGTGAGAAGGAGGAGGCCTGCTCAGAAGGCGGCTGGGCTTCTCAGAGCTCCTCCGGCCTGCTGAGCAGCGTTCTGTGCTCTCGGGGAAGGCTCCGAAAACTTTTCGGAAGGCCGGGGGACTTCAGAGCCTTCTGTGAGCACTTCCCCACCAGACTCGTCACCGACTGTTGGGCAGGACGACGGAGTAGGGTAGGGAGAAAGTGGGGGTTACGAGATCTGCTGCGTGCAGCTGGTTTCCGCCCCTCATCCCTCGACACGTGGGCGCTTCCTGGCGCCATTGGGCGCCAGGAAAACCAGCTGCGTGAGCTGATTCTCTGCCCTGCCCTTTGCTATCCTGCCCTTTGGCCCCCCCCTGGACAGGGCCCGGAAGCATGGGAAGTGAGCATATTCTTTCCGGTTCTCGGTCGAGTCAGGGAGAAATCACGACGGGTGTTTTTTGTTCTTGATATTTTCGGCCTCTGGGATCCCTCACCGGGCCTCGGGACCGTCAAGAAACGACTTGGGGTGAAGATTTGGTCCCGGGGAATGGGTCGAGACCTCTGGGGGTCGACGTTCTACAGAAATCATGACGTCGCGGATCTGGGTCTCCTGCTACGGGCACGCCTTCCTCGTTCCGGCTCCCGTGCGACCCCAATTCCAATCTATATATATATATATATATATATATATAATATAATATATATATATATATATATTAGCCTCGAAGAGGGAGCAATTGCGCAAACAACCTTTCGGCGATCCGGCGATGAGATTTCCCCTGGCGGTGCCTCCGGCGCCGCTCCTGCTGCGCCCTGCGCGCCAGGGATGGGGCTCCAGCGCAGATCCAAGAAACCAGCGCGGACCTCCCAAAGTTCGTGATTATGCATTTTTTGTTCCTCCAGATTCCCATCCGACCTCAGCTCCCACCTCCCCGACACTTTTCAGGAGGGGGAAAA